GAGAACTTGGAACAAGTTCCTCTCTCAGTGAGCTTAATAAGGGTGACCAAAAGACATTCCCAAAAGTGAGAATTAACTGAACAATACTTAAACCAGTCAAATATTCAGAATAATGCCCGGCATGTGGTGAGTGCCAGGTAAGTGTTACCCACTTCTAAAATTAAGATTAGTACCCTTGTTGTTTTTGTTTCCTATTAGCACCTCATGCAAGTTTTGCAAACACTAAATATGTTTTATGTAATTAAAAACAGAACAGGGCCTGGCACACAAAGCCTACTAAATAAACATTAGTCATCATTATTTGTATTAATTTCCATGAGCTAGGACTTGAAAAGTTGTGCTGAATATGAATTGTGTGTTGATATCATAATTGTCAGGTTTTCTTTTTTTTTCTTTTTAAGCAGCATAAAGAAATTGTTATGGACTGGGTCAAAATCATAAAATGTGAAAAGACAATTATCTGAAAACTTCATTAGAAGGAAAGCAAAAACATAAATTTGCTGAAATTGAGGGGATTTTATTGCATAACCACACGGCCCTTAGAGAAGCTAGCCACAGTCAACCAAATACAAACACAGACCAGAATGTCGGAGCTTAATTTTTTTAATTAATTAAAAAAAAAAAAAAAAAAAAAAAACATCTGCTAACGTTTTCTGAGCACTGACTATGTGCCGGGCACCTGGGTAGGTAAAATTTCCCCAAATTGTGAAAGTCATAGTATTGCTCTCAAGGTCGCTGAAGAAGCAGACCCCCATTTGCCAGATGAGGATGCTGAGATTAAAGGTCACCCGCCTGCCTGACTGGACAGGCAGAGACAGCCGGAACTCAGCTTCTCATCTCCCTGACGACAGTTCCCTGCAGATGGGCAGACCAGAAAAAAAAAAAAAAAAAATCCAGAAAACTTTCAGCAACCAATAAAAGACTGAAAGTGAAGTTGTGTTTTTCCAAGACTGGATCATTATTTCATCAAAGGGCCTTTTTAATGTGAACTCAGAAAGGGAAACCGCAGCATTAACCCCATGAAGGGTAGTGGACTTCTGCCCAAGTATGTCTGTGACCTGTCCCTCATGCAAACAGCACCTACTGCTCCGTGAATCAGCACCTGCTGTCCCCTGTCCTGGCAGCACCCACCCAACACTCACTTGCTTTCCACTTATAATTTGCAGGAAGTTTATTAACAGCTGTTTAAAACAGTACTGCCAACTCAAGAAGAAGCTGGAATTTGACTAAGCCAATTCTGAAGCCTGCCCAGGAAGAGGGCATTAGCCATTACAAAGCCACAGACCTCTGCACCAGGAAAATCAAGCTGAAGGGCCCGGAGACGAGGCTGCACATCTGAAGATGTTCTTCCATCCAAAGACCCAGAGTTCTCTTGCTTGTGGGAGCTCAACCATGGCCCCACGGTTGTGTCCCTGGCATGACTAGGCCAGTGTAGGAATTCTGGGTTCACTCTGACATTTCTCCTCTGCCTTGTGAGAGGAACCAAAGTGCCAAAGATTCTTCTCTAGCACCTTCCTCAGAGTAAGCATCTCCCTCCAGCTCAGCACGGCCAATCCACGTGACCCAAAGGGGGTTCTGAGAACCTAAACCCAACAACCTCTCATTTCTAAGTTCAAGGAGGTCTGAATTAGGAATGATCTGTGTCTCTCCTCTTGATAGATGAGAATATCTTCACTTAGCCTCAGTGAAGAACACATAAGTTCCTCTTTGGAGCATGCTTTGGTGGCATCTTTTTTTAAAAAAAAGAACACCCTGTTGAATGCAAAAACAGAAACCAAATACCTTGCCCCAAGGGGGATACCAAGGAAGGCCACATACAGTCAACAATATTCATGGCCAGGTATTATCCTATATCAGCAGTTCTAAAGTGGAGTGACTTTGCCCACCATGGGCCACTCTGCAGTCATTTTTGGTTGTCACATCTGGCGGAGGAGGCACTGCCGGCTTCCGGCAGGAGGAAGCCAAAGATGTCACTGAGCGCCAAGCAGTCCGCAGGACAGCCCTCACCACAAAAGAGTGATTGGGCCCAAAATATCAAGAGCACTGAGCCCTAGAAACCATTCTGGGCCCTGAGAAAACCCAACAATCAGACAGGAAGAGAGAAATCCTGCTCCTTGAAGCTTGCGGTCTAGCGTGGAGACAAATAATAAACATTACTTATTGGAAAATTATACAGTAGGTTACAAGTAGATGGAAGAAACAGAGGGCGGGGAGACTGAGTTGAGAGGGATGGCATTGTGAGCCTTGTGGGCCCAGAAGGCCACACCCTCAGTGTGAAGGGAACGTGGGGGTGTCTGGAGGCTGGGAGGAGTGGGGCTTGGGCAAAGACCGTCCAGGCAGAGGCAAGCATGATATAGGAAGGCCCTGGAGTGCCCCAGGAAGAGCCTGCAGGCCAGAAGGGTGGAACATGAGGAGCCCCAAGAGAGCAGCAAGACAGAAGGTCAGGGTGGACAGGCAACCTGACCATGTAGGCCACCTATGGCATTTTAAAGACTTTGAGTTTCCTGAGAAAATCTAGGAACCATGGTGGCAGGTTTTGAGCAGAGAATGACAAGGTCAGACTTGAGTTTGGACCCAGGGTTTCTCCACCTTGGCTTTGTCCACATTTGGGGGCCAGATGATATGTCCTTGTGGGAGGGCCGTCCTGTGCACACAGAATGGATAACAGCAGTGCCACCCCTGCCTGCTAAAGGCCAATAACAACCCCCTTCCACTGTGACCATCCCAGATGTCTCCAGAGGCCAACAACTGCTCCCTGGAGGTAGGGGTGAGACTCATCCCTGGTTGAAAATTGGTTTTAACAGTGACATTGTGACTGCTTAAAAAAAAAAAAAAATCATTGAAAGTGTAACACGGAAGGCAGGCAACTTGACAGACCTCTGCAGTGACCCAGGCAGGGGCTGATGGCGGTGGTTCCACCTGTTGGACAGATTCTAGACTGACCGTCAACCCCAAGGGACCATCTGGAGAACACGATGGGCAGGTGATCCAGCCACAGCAGCCTTAACCCTCGAACTGTAGCTTGTCCAGCCAAGACACAGAAGCAGCCAGGTGCCCCAGCAAAGAGGTAAGGCAAAGAGCAAGGGAGGGCCCAGGGGAACGGGTAGGTGTTCCAGTCGCGCAACAGATGCGGAGTCGGTGCTGGGAAAGGCGACCAACTCCACGCATTTATTCACAGATTTTATTTAACCGGCTTATTTAGAAGCATGTGTCTGCTCCCCAGACAAGTTTTCCAACAACCTTTTTAATTTAGTCCTCCTTCTCCATACCGTTGTGTCCCACACCTGTTTCCATCAGTGATGTGCGAATCCGCTACTTCCCAGGTCCCCGAACCTCTCCTCACATGTGCAGGGTAGCCAGCTACCAAGAATGTGCACCCAGGCAAGGAATTTTTGCTGACTCTAAGAAAGAACAGGCCCAAATTCTTAAACAGGAGCATTACGGGCACTCATCTGGGTTTTTCCAGATGGTATTTTCCTTACTCCCTCGAACTTATTTAATGTTATGTATCAGCTACCATCAAAAATGTTCCCAACAGTCCGGCCAATTCCTGTCTTTCAGGACTCACACACGCCCGCTCCCTCATTCTGGCCATGTAAGCATGACCGCTCAGTAAAACACTGGTCCCTTCAGCGAATGCAGATAAAGCCCCAATGAGAATGACCAACAATACCCCTTACACAATATTATGCAAAGCCCCCAGCCCCCAACACACACAATCTAAGCTCCCACACAAAATAGCCATTATGCAGAGAATCCACCAACTGAAGGCTGCTTCATGCCTCTAACTGCACAGGAGACCTCCTTCCAATTTGCATTAAGCATCTGCAAGCAGGCTGTCTCTGCAAGGGCAGCTGCCCATCCTCCAGATCCCCTTCCCCTAAGTGGACTGTCCTGCCACCCCCTGAGGGAACGGCACCTGGCTCCCCTCTCCATGAGGCTCTCTCCAGAAGCAGCCTCGGTCCACCTCACGCTGACTCCACTGCCCTTCATTGCCCCTGTCATCTGGGTCCCCTCACCCAGGCCCCAGTCACCACCAGGGGCAGGGCAGACTCAGAGGGTGCCGTACTGTGACCTGATGGCTCGCAGTCACAGCCTTATCTATCCCACAACGGAGAGGGCTAGAAATAAACCGTTCGCTGTCACAGCCTCAAGTGATCACCAGCTCCTCGGGAACACTCGAAACGAGAAGCGAGAGGCCTCCCGAGTGTCCACAGTAGGGAGAGAACGGAAGAAGCCCCGCCAACTCCGCCAGACTAGTGGGGACAGAGGCAGCCAGGGGTGGGCGCTGGGGGGTGGGCCGGATTGGAGCGGCTTCGCGCCTCTCCCGAAGTTTCGGAAGTCCTCTGCCAAAAAACCACTCACGGCGGCCAAGTGGAACCCGCTCGGGTAAACGCCCCCCACCGCGCAGCGGCCCGCCCCCGCCCCAGGAGACCGGTCAGCGGGCCGGGCCCCAGCTTCACCTGGCCGGGGGACACGCCCCGCCCCTCCCGCCCGCGAGTGCGGCGACAGCAGGTGAGCGGCGGGCGGGGACCGCACCTGGAGTCCGCCGGAGGCCGGTGTTCCCAAAGGGGCAGGACTTCTCAGAGGAGGCTGCCGGCGAGCTGATGGCCTCCGTGGAACGTCGCTCACCGGCCACCCCAGCTTTCCCTCTCCGATCCCATGGGGATCTTGAGAAAAGTGGCGCAGTCAAAACTGTCCCCATCGCACCTGGTCAGCGATCCGGCCGGCGCTCCTCCCCCACCCGGCGCCGGGCGCTCCCCAGCCCCCACCAGTCCCCGCCGCGCACCTCCACGCAGGGTCCCCGCGCCCCGACAGCGGCCCGGCCCCAGGCGCTCCCTCCCACTCCGAATGTGCGCCGCCCGCAGCGCCCGCAGCCCGCGGGGCAGACCGCGCAAGGGCACGGGGTCCTTGTCCCAAACGCCGGAGCCAGCCCTCCTCGCCCCGGGTGGAGGTGCGGCCCCGGCCGCCACCGCGCCCCGTCCAGCTGTCACCCTCACCTGCTCTTCAGGGGCTGACTTTTGAGTTCGTAGTAGGTTTTGGGCTCTTCGTGAAACTCCTCCCCGACTTCGAAATCCGGCACGATCCCCGATTCCGACTGCATGGCTCCGGCTTCGCGGCCCCGCGCCGCTCCGATCGAGGGCAAAGCGGGGCGCCCAGGGAGGTGGTGGCCGGGTCTCGCCGCGCGCCGCGCGCCCCGCGCAGCGCCGCGCAGCCCGCCCGGCCGAGTCCGCGCTCCCGGCCCGGGCGCCTGGGACCTGTAGTCCGCGGGCGCGGGGCACCCCAGCTCGCCCCGGCCGCGGCTCCCCGGAAAACTACAGCTCCCAGAAGGCCCGGCGGGAGGCCACGTGGTGGACACCGCCAGCGCAACTCCTGTTTGGACTCACTGTCAATGTCAGGAGCGCTCGCCTCCTCTCCCCACTGGCTCCAAGGGTAGACCCGGCTGTTTAATATTAATAAGAGCGAACTCGCCCTGCGCCTTCGTCCTCGCCGTCGCCCCTCCTCCTAGGTGGACAGCTGCTAGGGCGCGCTCGGACCTCGTCTTAAAAATAAAATAGCGAAGGGTTTGGGTCCTGGAAACTTTCCGCATGCACGTCTGTCTTCAACTTAAAGGACTTCCTAGCAGTCCTCGCTCGTCTCTGGGATGCTGCGACATTGTCAGCTTGTCCTCGGATTGGAGCTCAGTGTCAGAACTTTCTTCACTGCGTAATGAAAACACAGTTGGAGAAGTTGTTCCTGCGCGTCGCTTTTCTGGAACCAACCCAGTGTGGGCTTTTATAATAACATTCAGCAGAGCGGCTCTTTCCCCGCCTTATCCAACAGCCACCTCTAATCTAAAGCAGCACTTTAAAGAGCCCGTCGATTTTAAAAGGCACGAAGTTACAAAACGACGTCATGAGCGTCTGCTTTCAATTTCTCCGTCGGCTGGGAGTTGGAAGGAGGCTGTCATGCCCCTTCTGAGCTTCCCAGCGCTCAGGTGGTAGAATAAAAGACTCGGCTTCAGCTCATTAGTACTTCCAGCCTCGCCCTCCGATTAGTTCCAGGAAATGTCTTCCTTTTATAAAAAAAATGTCTTGAGCCAGAGCCTTCTGGGCCGCGGGGCAGAGCTAGAGGGTAGCGTTTGGAGGTAGAAAAGGCTCAGAGTTGACATCAGCGGTCCTTCTAAGTGCCCTGCCCCTCAGGGCCGCCAGTTGATTCCTAGAAGATCCGGAGTCCTCATCTACAGAAGAGGAGATTGGGAAGTCTGTTTTAGAAGGTGCTGCAAGGTTAGATGTGAGAGTGATTTACCATAATAACAATAAAAAAAGATCTTCTCAATGGCCATCCTCGTTTTGCTTTTTAATTTCATCTTGAAGATATTCTTTTCCCACTAACATCTCTGTGTTAGTCCTTCCAGAAGTAATAAACGAATGGCTAGCCTAGGAGAAGACTCTAAGAAGATGATATCCTAGGAGTTGCCGGTTTTGACTCTCGTTGAAGCATTTTAATTTCACACCAGAAAAATGTCTCCCAAGGGATGGTTTGATTTTAGAGCTGAGGCTCTCAGGGGGAATGGTGAAAGTACAGGAGACTCGCTCTGTTGCAATAGCAATTGCCAAAATCCCATAATAAAATGTAGTCCTCTAAACACTCCCTATAGGTCCCTTCCTCTAACAGCACTATGGCAACCCTATGGCAGAATATCAGAAGCCCTCCTAAGGGCAGCAGGCTATTCCTTGACAGATAAACGACTAGAAATCAGATGTCAGAAGTGGAGAAGTGTTGCTTCCCTCCAGGGGAAGAGGAGAGCGGAAGGGAGTGAGCGGTCTTGCCTCCTCAACTCTTCTGTGTGCCCGCCATCTAGGTGTTTGTGGGGAGAACTGATCTGCATAACTTGGAGCTTGATATGGTTTAGATGTGAGATGACCCCCAAAAGCTCAGGTCTGAAACAATCCAAGAAGGTTCAGAGGTGGGATGATTGGATTATGAGAGCTATAGCCTGATCTGTGCATTAATCTACTCATAGGGATTAACTGGGTGGTGATGCAGGCAGGTGGGGTGTGCCTGCCTGATTATATTCTGTCCCTGGTGAGCAGAGCTCTCTCTGCTTCCTGATTGCCTGGTCCTGGGCTGCTTTCCTCCTCCACTTCCTGCTGCCATGTTGTTCTGCTCTGCCTCAGGCCCAGAGCAATGGAGTTGGCCGTCTATACATGGAGACCTCTGAAACCATGAACCACAAATAAACTCTTATCCTCTAAATTATTCTTGTCGGGTCTTTTGGTCACAGCTATAAAAAAAAAAAATCTGACTAAAACTGAGCTATTACAGACATTTAAGGAGTGTGGGCCAGAGACACTAAACTTCTTGCACAATAACAAACTGTTGTCCAGCATTAGGTGGAGGAGGAACACTGGAGTCTTCTTAGTTTCTTGGCTCAGACCAGAAGCTCTATAATCCAAGAAAAGCTACAGACCCTCTTCTTAGAAAACACAAACTTAAGCAAAATGCTGGTCCTTTGACCTTTTGAAGACTGTCACAGACCTCATGCTAGAACCAATGAAACACTTCATTATGCTGCGCATTACATCAGTCACCTGCCAGACATAGGGATCAGCCTCAACTGTGGGGGGTGGAGGGACCCGTCAGGAAAGCCAGCACTCCCAAGCTTGCCTCCAGCCAAGTGCAGCTTCCAGAGAGACCTGAGGGCACAGAGCCCTGAGCTGAGGTTGCCTTGAGGCTCACATGGAGAGCTATTTTCCCCTGATCCTCTTCATCAGTCTCGTCCCCGTTCTTGTTCAGGAAAACCTCCCAGGATTATGCATTACTGCACCATGTGCCTCCCATGGGAGTGGGCATGTGACCCCAGCCCCTGTATCATCACCCTAAGAAGCCACTGCTCCTGTCGGTGGATAACATCCTACAGGCTGCCAGACTTTGATCCCGTAACAAAAGTTGGCTACCTGATGGACATTCCCTGTGATTTCTCTGTGTTAGAAGCCGAGAACAGATACCCCTTCTAGAAACAGGTGATGCATCAATAGTGCTGTACACTCCAACCGAGGGCTGTGATTGTTAGGTGTGAGAGGAATGGCTGGAGACTAGAGTTATCGTTATGAATATTACATCTTTAACATTTCATGTACACTTATCATGTAACCTCCTCTTGGCTCTCCCAGCAACTCTACAGGGATGGATGAGCAAGGGACTCCAGGTCACTGTGCCTTGAACAGGTGCTAGGTGTGAGTATGTCATTGTGTTACGCACTCCAGCTACAAAAATGAACTTCCCTTCATCCCTGCCCTCCTGAGCTCACAGTGAGGAGCTGAGACGGCTCACGGCACAGTGAGAAGCCTCACAGAGAGCAGCAGAGCTAAGCAGCTGATGGCTGGAGTATGGTTGTCCCTCGCATCCACGGAGCTCAGGATTCTCTACGAAGCACCTACCTGTGCCAGGCAGTGTATGCTAGGCAATGACATGTGTATGGTGTCTGCATTGGGGACAGGAATCCTGCCTTTTTAGAAATAGGAATGGGCATGTTTATCACAGCACAAATTACAGAACCAGCCCAGGTACCAATCAACAGGTAAGTGGATAAAGAAAAGAGGTACATATACAGCGTGGAGTTTATTCAATCACAAGAAGAATGAAATGCTGTCATCTTCAGGAAAATGGGTAGAACTGGAGAGTATCACATTAATTGAAGAAAGCTAGACTCAAAGACAAGTGTTGTATGTTTTTCTTATACGTAGAAACTAGTGGAGAAGAAAGCTGGGGTGTCTTCCAAGTAGATGAGAGCTCATTAGAGTAGAATAAGGGGTTCAGGACAAGAGAGGAAGGGAGGCTAAGGGGAGTTACCAAGGAGCAAAGTTGATCACATTATTTATGTGCATGTCCCAATAGTCCACAGTGACACCCACCATTCTGTATAATTAATATGCACCAAGAAAAAGTAACAGGTAAGGCAATGCATCAGGAAAGACAGGTAACTCTGCTCAAAAGAGCAACACTAGACCCTGAGGGTGGGTGGTGAGGAAGAATTCCTGGAGATGTGACTAAGCTAGATCTTCCAAAAAGAAAAAGAGAGGGGAAAAATCTAAGTCCCATGAAAACTGAATGTAATCAAGCCCCTAGGTCTAACCTCCAATTTATAGGAAAAGAATGAGTGAGAGGAACAGGATAACAGCACCAATGAATGCAGTCAGTTGGCCAGAGATCTATAAGTTCTACAAGACATCCAGAAATTCTGCAATAATAATAACAATAATGATTTTTTAAAATGAATAGCATGAAACAAGGAGAAGCAAGAATTGCTACAGGCTGAAGGAGACTTAAGAGGTCTATTGGGTATGTGAATTATGTATCAATAAATGGTAAATTGGGGGGGAGAGAGACATAGTCCTTAAGTACATTATGTGGAAATGTATGTGGAGCCTCATTCGAGTAAACCAGTTATAAAATCTCACGGTGGGGAAAAGAGAGAGTTTGGATATGGACTGCACACAGTGAGTGATGCTCAGTAAATTTCACTATTTTGATGAAGTATTTATGGGTGAGATGATGTGAGGTCTTGGGGTTGTCATTGAATCACTCTCTCCTCTCTTTCTATTCCCAAAGAGTCACTGAAAAGAAAGTTGAAAAATAAAATACAGGGCTGGGGCTCAGCGGAACTGCACCTGCCTGGCATGTCCGAGGCACGGGGTTTGATTCTCAGCATCACATATAAATAAATAAAGGTCGATCAACAAATTAAATTTTTTTTTTAAATGATCAACTGCTGGAACTGTAAGATAGGTTTCAGGAAGTCACTGCAGTCGTCTCTTGTGTGTAAGTTGGGGACATTTCCATGATCAAAAAGAAATTTTTTAAGTGAGAAAGAAAAGAGAGAAGAAACTAGCATACTGCTTTTTAGATGATTTGCCATTATGGATGATACTAGATGGAAAGGCGTATCATTCAAAAAATAAAACACAGACCTGAAGAAGCCTGGGTGAACTTGGAGAAAAAAGTCGATGGATTTTAGCAGAAAGGAATGTATTCAAAGCATCCTGAGAGAGAAGGGCAGCAGAAGCCAGCACAGCCACCTTGCAGCAGCAATCACTCCCAGCCCGAGGCCCCGGAAGTGGGCTGCAGAATGCTGCCTGGCCACCGCTGCAGCACGCCTGACCCTGTGGAAGTGCTGCCTGTCTCTGGGACTGGTGTTGCCACAAACACCCCACACACACACAGCC